GCTTTTTTGTTGAACACAAATAAATACCTCAAATGTGAATCTATGCCAATAAGATAGTCCTTAATTTATCTCCAATTGTATACATAAATGCATAGGCTTTTGAAAAAAATGATTGCATTGCATCTAGTTACAACTCAAAATTTCTTTATTTTAATATAGCTTGGAGACTCCATCTAAACATATATTTAATCATAGCAAAAGAAAACCATGACTCCAATACAACAAAGTCGGTACATTGTTATAACACATCATGATTTATTAGGTCATGTGTGAGTTTAAGAATTTTTTTAATAATTTTTAATTGTCAATTGAGGGATATGTCCATAAAAAAAAGCTTTGGGTATAGACAATCAACTTAGCTGGTTGCACTCAAATATCTTAAATGCCTCCGTGGGAGTGCCTAGGATTGATTAGACTAGGGTTCTAGGTTCACAACAATATAAATTTCAATTTATGGATTTTAGATTATCTATATTTATACTATGTCTAAATTTAGTTTTTGGTATAGATAAGATGTATCTATTCAACTAAGGGATATACAGCCTCTGAAGGGCCAATCATTGAGAGTTCTTGTCTGCTAAAGTTCACAACCTTTCCCAAGGGGAGGTTAATATGGAAATATGCTTATTTTAGTCTAATCAAGTAAAACTTGGTATTTATTTTAGTCTCGAGGGTTTTCTTTTTTAATTTGATATTTTTAGTTGTGTTTACTTTACTCATTTTTGTCAAGTTCTTTTGTATGCATGTTTGGTGTTAATTTTAACAATCGATGTCTCTTCTCAATTTAATGTGAGATATAATGGCTATGAAGTATGACTTTTAGTTCTTTTGATGGCTTGAAGAGTGTTCGATTGTGAAGAAGGTGAGGTGAATTATCATATTAGGGATGCTGTTTTGATAACTATTGATGATGAGTGCAAAGATTTGGCATTCTAGATTAAGCATAATTTCTGCATTACCTAATAGGGAGTCGTTTTCACTTATAAATAATGTTAGTAGTTATATTTGTATGAGAATTATTGTAACATGCAAGAGAGCTTGTTTTGGCATCGTGTAGTTGAGGATGTTTGATGGCGTGATTAGGATATTGTATTGATTGGGGTTAGACATATATGAAAGCTTAGATCAATCTGGTATCTTTGAGTGCTCTCAATGAAGCAAAATGCATACCCCATACGTTAATTTTTTTTTAATAGTTTTAGGGTTGCTTGGCTGTCATGAAGGCTAACAGAGTTGGTGGACAAAGGAGTTATTAATTAATGGAGTATAGTAATTGTAGGAAGTAGCAAAATGTGCAACTTTGATTGGAGCTACTTCAATTTTATCATAATTTCTATAGTAATATAATGATTATAGGAAGTAGAAAAGGTTAATCTTTTGTAAGCAGGTTATGCTACAAGACAAAGGAACATGTTATGGGCTATGTTATAATATTGTAGCATTCAGAATGAGTCAATAACCTCTTGATTTAGTGGTAGGTGTACTCTTGATGTCAGTGGACCCTCTTCGGTGTGCAACATATATACTTTGGATGTCTCTCAAATTTAGGTTTCATTGGGCTTTATGAGGTTGCCGAGTGCTCAACCTTATGGGTTTTATGAACTTTAGGAGCTTGTTTGGGAGATGAGTTATAGGCATCTTGAATAAATTGTTTGCTTTATTTAGCTATGTTGCACTATTGTAGCATTCAGAGTAAGTGAATAACCACTTGATTTAGTCATAGGTGTACTTTTGGTGTGCAACATATATACTTTGGATGTTTCTCAAATTTAGGTTTCATTGGGCTTTATAGGTTGCTGGGTGGTTAACCTTGGGGTTTTAGGAACTTGAGGTACTTGTTTTGGAGATGAATTATAGGCATCCTAAATAAATTGCTTCCATAATTGAGCTAGGGGAAGATTTGTTCGGATTTTAACAATAGCTTCTTTATAGTATGAACAGTATTTGATGAGGGATTGTTCAGAGAAAAATATAAATAATATTTTGGGTAAATATCATGCAGGTCCTTGAGTTTTGAATCTCACTTAATGTAGGTCGATGTTTTTAAAGCTGTCTATTTGGTCCCTTACATAGAGGGATTTTTTTGAAGTTATTTCCATTATCATATCAATCAATTGAGAAATAAATGACAAAAAGCATCATTATATTTCTCTTCCATTTCCTCTTGTTTAATTCTATGAGGTCATTGTTTCCCGTCTTCGTCATCATCTAATTACCACACCTCTAGCAATTCCAATTCTGTTGGCAACCAGATCTCTGAGTTTTGGACAGCAAATAATATAGATCCATGTTTCTAAAACTCTCTATTTGGTCCCTTAACATAAAAAAGATTCTCATGAAGGCTTTTCCATTAACATAACCATCAATTGTGAAATAAATGAGAAAACACATCATTAAAAATTTCCTCGATTCTCTCTTTTGATTCTATTGCAGTCATTGTTGGCTATATTTCCGATCATCTAATTGCCACACCTCTTGCAATCTCCATCTTCTTGCAATTTGTACACATTAAAAAAAATCCTCTTGCAATTTATGTTTCATAAATGAAATAAAGTAATTTGTGCACTAATTTCTCAATATATATATTTTTTACTTTAGTGTGGAATGAGTTGGCAGCCCTAGTATCAACAATTTTGTCCTTACCAGCCCCTTCTTGCATCCTTCTTGAAGCATTCTATTTCCATTGCTAAAAAATATCCTTTAGGGAGGTTCTAAGAGCCTTTGGTCGACTCTCACTGCCTCCTTTTGTCTCCATTTTAACATCTCAGAGGGTAGAGTACCTAATGGAATATCCAATTAACGATATTGTACTATATGGGGGATGATGACATTAAAAACCTAAAAATTACCAAGTTGGGGCCCATAGTGAAATCTCAAATGATGCTTGGGACGTAAGGTTTTGAAGAACTGGAATTATGGGAGAATTCAAATCATAAAGGCGTAGGCAATCATTACACTAATATTTTTATTTTTGGTTATAAATAAATTTAATGTTTGATAGAGAATTATTATTTTAAGATAACATGAAGTTAAAATTTCAACTTAATTTAAATTTGAGATCATCCCTAAACTTATGAGAGGCCAAAAGACAGGAATTTAGGGCTATGGGATTAGAGCTGATGAATGTGCATGCAATCAGGTGCTTGAGTGGTGGCCAGATCTGATCAGGAGAATCTGGTAATTGAATTTTTTGTTGAGATAAAATGAGATAAGAAATTTGTAGTCAACTATTTTTGGAAAAAAATAGAAAGGTAAAAATAGTTAGAGTGGGAGGGAGAAAAGATGAGTAAAAAAGAAGATTTTTTTAGGCAGTCGACAACCAGCGTAAAATTTGTCAAAAAAATCATGACATGAATTGTATACTAGAGCTGTTAATTGTGTTCGAACTGAAGGAGGATTGACCAAATATTTTCCTATTTTTGTTGGATTACATCAGGGATCGGCTTTAAGCACATATCCTTTTGCTTTAGTTATGGATGGTCTTACTGGACATTTACAGGAGGATGTACCTTGGTGTATGTATTTTGCTGATGATATATTGATATCTTTCTCGTGGATAAGATGAGAGAAAAAGCTCAGCAAAAAATTGGATTATGGAGGTCTACATTGGAGTCTAAAGGCCTTCGTTTGAGTAGAACTAAAACTGAATACATGGAATGTAATTTTAGTAGTAATAACTATAGTGACAAAAGTGTAATTTTGGGTGATCAAATTATTAAAATGTGTGAACGATTTAGATATCTCGGGTCAATTGTTCAAAGCGATGATGATATGTGATATTGATGGAGATGTTAATAGTAGAATTCAAGCTGGTTGGTTGAAATGGAGGAATGCTTCGGGCCTGTTGTGTGATAGAAATATACGGCTTAGACTGACAGGAAGGTGGAGGAATGCTTTGGGCCTGTTGTGTGATAGAAATGTACCGCTTAGACTGACAGGAAGATTTTATAAGACAGTGGTGAGATCTGCAATGCTTTATGGGGTTGAATGTTGGCCTTTAAAAGAGAAGCATAATACTAAGTTAAGTGTTGCCGAGATGAGAATGATTAGGTGGATGAGTGGCTTTACACTTAGAGACAAAAGGCGAAATGAATATATTCGTGATAGGGTTGGTGTAGCTCCTGTGACGAACAAAATTAGAGAAAGTCGTCTTAGATGGTTTTGTCACATTAAGCGTCGACGATCTAATGATCTGATTATGAGAGTAGATGTTTTAGATTCGACTTATGTTAATAAAGACAGGTATACCTAGGAAGACTTGGGCTTATTGTATAAAAAATGATCTTAATTTATTAGAATTAAATGAAAATATGACACTAAATAGAACGCAATGGAGAAAGAGGATTCATGTACCCGACCCTACATAGTGGGATTAAGGCTTTGTTGTTGTTGTTGTTGATGTTGATGTTGATAATTAAGGCTTTGTTGTTGTTGTTGTTGTTGATGTTGATGTTGTGAAAGCACACCAATTTGTGGTAATTCCATAGGCATGTGTGAAGATGTCATTTTGAGGAAATTTTAGGTGGGCAACTTTTCAGTATTAATAAAATATTTTTTATTTATCATTTCTCATATGTTATTTTCTATTTTATTTAACTTGGGTAATTTGGCACTTCTTTTTTATGATGAGATTGGTTGTTATTGAGTGAAGATGCTTTCTTATGCTTTTTTTATCTGTATGCCTTTTTGGTTTCTATATATCCTCTTCATTGTATATGAACGAATGCGTATTTTGGTTGAACCACGTAAATCTTAGCATCTTGGTAGCAGCGTTTTACTGAAAATCCTTCCAATACATTAGGGATTATTTAATACCCTTCAAATCTAGAATTCTGGATTTTAGGCTTTTGTTCTTGTATACATTGTGGCCATATATTCCATTTCATATTCTATTTACAAGTATATTTTTCTATTTTAAATTCTAAAGTATCCTTGCACCAACAAGGATCCAATCCTATATTGGTCTTGTGCTGACACTTTCTTCTGTTTTATGTTTTAAGAAAGCAGTTCTGGAACCAGCAATGCAAGGACGCGATATGATTGGTAGAGCCAAAACTGGAACGGGCAAGACTCTTGCTTTTGGGATTCCAATATTGGATAATATTATTCGCTATAATGCTAAACATGGGTTAGTGTCTTGGTGTTTTCAATTTATTAATTTGTTAAATGACATGTAAACATGGTTTCTGCACATGATTTCTTTCATCATTTAGTAAATAAGTTTTTGTGTTTCTTTCTCTTTCATTTTTACAGGCGTGGAAGAAATCCTTTAGCCTTGGTTCTGGCACCAACACGAGAACTTGCTCGACAAGTGGACAAGGAATTCAGGGAATCATCACAGTTGGACACACTGTGTGTATATGGGGGTGTCCCTATTCAACAGCAAATGAGAACCTTGAGTTATGGCATAGATATTATAGTTGGCACCCCAGGCAGAGTTATTGATTTACTTAATAGAGGCGCCTTAAATTTGTCTGAGGTGCAATTTGTTGTTCTTGATGAAGCTGACCAGATGCTTGCTGTTGGTTTTGCTGAAGATGTGGAGGTGATTTTGGAGAAGTTGCCACAAAAACGTCAAAGTATGATGTTCTCAGCAACTATGCCAACCTGGATTAGAAAAGTTTCTCAGAAGTATCTTAATAATCCAGTTACAATTGATCTTGTGAGTATGAAGAATGGTTTCTAGCCTCTCATTTCAGTTTTTGGTGAAACCTTCTTTTTTCATTCTTCAAGTAAACATGCTTTACAACCTTACATATCTCAATAAGCTTTGTCATTCTGTCATTTGTCCATTGCCTCTTGCTTTCAAATCTGGTTATTTAGGAGTCATTTGGTATGGCTTTTATTTTTGTTTTTATTTAATTTATTTATATTTTGATTTAAATTAAAACACATTTGTCTGAGCTAGCTGTTTTTAAAAACACTCAAAACATCTTTTAGGTGTTTTGAGTGTTTTGAAAAACAACTTGTTTTTTAAAATAAAAAAAGATAAAAACATATAAAAATTATACTAACCAAATATGTTTTCGAAAAATAAAAGAAAATATAAAAACAGAAACATGAAGTAAAAGTAATGCCAAAGAGGCTCTTAGATTTTGAATTGCCACTTTCGAATATTTGCATTCATAATTTTTTTTATATGGTCTAGTTCAAATATGTTTTCAAATGCAAAAGAAAATATAAAAAATATAAAAAACGTAAAGTAGAAGTGATGCCAAAGTGACCCTTAGCTTTTGAATTGGTACTTCCGTATACTTGCATTCATAATTTTTTGTATATAAATTAAGTCTTTCTATTGGTCATTTTTGATGTATTGTTTTTGAACATTTTTTAATCTTTTGGCCCACTGGTCAAGGCAAGTGGTCGTTGAATAAATTGGGATTCCTTTATATAACGTCTTAATTTTGAACTAATTTTTCATTGTTCTTGTATAGGAACATGCCAAGGGAGGAAAATGCATAGTTTTCACCCAAACCAAACGGGATGCTGATCGTTTGGCTTATGCTATGAGCAGGAGCTATCCTTGTGAGGCTTTGCATGGTGATATTTCCCAAAACCAGAGAGAGAGAACACTTGCTGGCTTCCGGGATGGTCGGTTTAGCATTTTGATTGCTACAGATGTTGCCGCTCGTGGACTGGATATTCCTAATGTTGACTTGGTGCGTGGTTGAACTTTTCTTTTTTCATCTCTTCTATTTTTTTTTTTCACTTTTATGAAGTACTGAGTTTGATTTGTTTATAGTGTGCATATAATACTTGATATTAATACTTGATATTATACTTTTGTCAAATGTTTTCTGTTCGTCTATTTTTTTGTTTTAACCCTTTTTTTCTCATAAATGATTGTTTCCAAAATTTTGTTAAAAAGAATAGCCGAGGACTTGTTTGGGATTGTTTCTTGTTTTGTTTTTATAAATAGGTTAAAGCTGTTTTTATTTTTTGTATTTAAAAACAAATTGAAATGATTAAAACTTTAAATTTAGCAAACTCCATCTTAGGCTTTTGTAAGTTTTCAAACGAGTGTATTAATTTAAAAAATAAGTAGGCTTTGAATTGGGAGTACACAACTGTTGACCACTATTACAATTTATAATATTTGGTAGAAACAAATTTTTTAAATTAAATAAATATAAGGAATGTTTAGACAAGATTAGAGGGATTCGTCTTAGATGATTTGATCACATTAAACGTCAACCATCTGATGTTCTAGTTAGGAGAGTAGATGTTTTAGATTTGATAAATGTTAAGAAAGGTAGAGGTAGACCTAAAGAGACTTGGGCATATTGTATAAAAAATAATTTTAATCTATTAGAACTAAGTACGACACTCAATAGGACACTAGAGAAAAATGATTCATGTAGCCGACTCTACTTAGTGGTATAAAGGATTTTTGTTGTAAATGCAAATAAGGAATATTAATTCGGAAGTTGATTTTCAATATTTTATTAAAAAATTAGAAATATTAGTCATGCACTGATTACTTTTAGGGGGAATTTACATGCATATCTCACAATTCTTATGTATTTATCTATCTAGCACCTAAAGTTTGATATTTATCTTTATAGCACTTTGATGTCATAAATGTAAGCATGGAAATGTGCATTTCACTTTTTGATATGATGTTAAAAGATTTGAGTGATATGCGTTTAAATATGAAAGTTTAGGTGTTAGATATTTAAAATATACGGAGTTGACTGGTATGTATGTAAATGCCCCTTAATCTTATTATTAAAATATTAAAATTTTTAAAAACTTAATATTATAATATTTAAAAAAACTAACAATTAGATTATATATATATATATATATATATTATTTTTTTCAAAATGAAATCGGTATTTGGCAGAGCCCCAAATACTAAATTTCCATATATATATATATATATATGAAAAGATTAGTGTATGTTTTTAATCATAGCTTGGACAATCTGGATGAAGAGATTTCTTGAAACTCTCTTTTTGTTCTCTTTGCTTGACTTTTCTTTCCCCTTATGTATCTAAGATTTTTTTCTGTTACTTGGTGTGATGCTGATTTTATGAATCTGATGGTTTAAGTATTGCATATCTAAGATAACTATTACTATAAAATGAAAATTTCATTCATGGCTGCTTGAGTGAGGGTTAAATACAAATCCTTTTGAGCGAAATTCTAATGATAATTGTTAGTTTTTAGGGGAGACCTCCTTGTACCTGCATGATGCCTAGATTCTTTTTACTTTTGATGTATGCCTTGTTCTTTTTTTTTCCCCCATTTTTACAATGTTACTGGCTTATTTTGTGATTGGAGTTTGAGTGCGTGATATGTAATTCTGATGTGATTTTCATTGGGTATTTCTTTCTTTGTAGAATTTTTATTTGAGTTAATATTAGTTTATCAATTAACTCTAATTTGACCTGTTTTATGATTAACTTATTTTTATTTTTGAAAGCACCTATTTCTATTTCTCTTGTTTGCATCCCAGGGCAGTAGAGCTGTAAACGAGCCGAGCTTGAGCGAGCTCAGGCTTGACTCATGTTTGACTCATTCGAAATAGCTCGTGTTCGACGAAATCGGCTCGTGTTCGAAATTGGCTCGTGAACCGATCGGCTCGTGTTCGAAATTAGCTCGTGAACAGTGTGTTCTTGTTCTGCTCGAAATTGGCTCGTTAAACTAAAATT